TCCGGGTCCACTGGTGGAACCTCTTCTAACCGGTTCGGTAGATTTGACGAACCGGTTCTACCGAATAGGTGCGAACTGGTAGGAACCCACCTTTGGACCAGTGCCAGATTTCTGCTGTTTTCAATGTTTTATACTTTCTCTGGCTGAGTTTTATAGTTTTTAAAAATGATTTTATATACTTTTTAATTTTTGATTGGGAGCTGCCCAGAGTTGGTTGAAAGATGGGACAGCTATAGAAGTCTAATTTATAAATCAATCAATCATGTACATCAGACAAACATAACTGTCTATTAGGAAGTATATATAATTCCATTAACATATCTTCTCCTACCTGAAGGTATTCTTGAAATTCTTCTCTCTTTGATTTTAAGAATTCATAATTCTTTGGTCCAATAATCCTCTTGGAGGGAAGCTGAGCATCAGGGAATGTACCTGGTCATACAATAAAATTTAAACATGTTGAAAGTTCATTTTCACTCTTACAAGCTAAAGAATGTTACTGATAAACAATAATATCTCCAGAAATAGGTGGTACAGAAAGCATACCATGGAATTCTGTTAGCTTTGATTCAAGCACGTAAAATTCAAGATATCTTCTATAGACCGACCAGTGCTCAGGTTTATGCCCAACTGAAAATAAAGAGACAAAATTATCATTTTTTATTAGTCCAGAATACCGGTAATCCCTGAATTAAGAGCATTCTCATAGTGAACGTTCAAATTTATACAGTAAGCACCTGCTAGCGTTTATGAACAAGTCCAGAAATTATGAATGTTGCAGCACCACAATAGTTGTTCGCTCTTACAAACGACTGCAGAAGCTCTGCAACATTTGCCCCACCTATTTGCCCCCCGTCCTCCCGCCCCAGCAGGGTCTTAACAGGCATCCCACCCATGGAGACTCACTTACTTTGTGAAGATCTCCTCTCTGTCACACTTTCATTGCCTGCTTCATTGCTTCAGGCTTTCGGTGCATTCGCAAAGAACAGAGGCCCAATGTACCGCAAGGCGGTGCGAGATCAGTAGCACAAGATTTCATGCTGCTGATCTCATATGATCTCACACTTTAGGCCTCTATTCTCTGTGAATTAAGGCCTGGATGTTTGCAAATGGATGGAAGATTTCGGTCCTTCAGGCCTTCCCTCCCTTTGCCATTTCCTTACCGAAGCCTTCAGGGATATTGCGTTCTTCTAGGTTTTGGCAGCCCTTTGCAAAAAAGCATTTGTTGGCACCAGTGGTGCTTGGAAGGAGCGTGTCCCTCTGAAGCTCTGTTTCTACCGGCAAAGATTTTTTGAAAAGGGCTGCCAAAGCCTAAAGAGATGCAATCCTCAAGCACTTTGCCGACAAGAAAGGAGGCCCGGAAGGCTGTACATGAGCCTCCAGGCCTCCTTTTCATTGCCAGAGGCATCATCAAGCCGTTTGCTGATGAGAAAGGAGGAAGCAAGCAAAGAAACAGGCTGGCGAAGCGACAGATCTTCATAAGGTAAGTCACCCAGGCGTGGCAGGGTAGGAAGGGGGAGCAATTGTGGGGACACCAAGGGGGGATGGGGAATGAGGTATCTGTGGGTCGTGGAGGCCTTGGGTGGTCTGAAGTAGGTGGCCTGTTCCATCATTATCCCCCCCTCCCCATGGCCTTCCTCTCCCCAAGATATCTCATGTGGACTTAACAAGTTCCACATTCAATTATCAAATGCGTGAGCAAAAGCAGGGAGTGATTTCTTTCAAGGTACGAGATTCATTCCCATGGGTTCTAAGGTTACAAATGGAATGGGCAGGCTTCATTACATTCGTAACTTGAGGACTACTTGTAAAAGAATTTTACATGGAAACATACATCTAACAGAACTAAAAGCAAGTCTTCAACCATATTTTAAACCTCTCACTTTTCAAACTTATTAAAAGCTTTCATTAGCAATCATAATTGTCATTATTAAGGTAAAAACTCTTCTTATCAAGTTTGACTCTGAGGATTTCAGAATTCATCCACATACTTAAAGTAGAAAGTAAAGTAGAAAGTAATGGTTCCCCCCACCTTTTTTTTCCGGAGGTTTTTTTTTTTTCAACTTCCCAGTCTAGTTAATAACCCTGGGATTTCCTGGTGGTCTGTCAACCAAGAATTAACAAGTCTTATTTATTTACAGATGTCTTTCTCTCTTCACAGATGATGAGCTAATAAGTTCTGGACACCATTCTTGTTAGGGAAGGGTAATGTAGTTGGAAATATATGAAGGTGTACACCAGAAGACTGTTCTGCTCTATGCCAGAGGACTTGGGAAATGTCCTTAGGTTTAGGTTTATTCGATTTATATGCCGCCCTTCTCCCAAGGACTCAGGGCGGCGTACAACATTAAAAGAAACACGTAATACAAAAGTTAAAAAGAAATTAAATAGGATATCCCAAACCCAATTAAAACATTTTTTTAAAGAATTAAAATTAACAGTAATCAATAATTTGTTTTGTTCAGGCCAGGCTGGCTTGCTGGAAAAGTCAACTTTTTAGGGAGCGTCAAAAGGACCGGAGGTCGGGGATTATACGAAGCTCCGGGGGCAGCTCATTCCAGAGAGAAGGTGCTCCTACAGAGAAGGGTCTCCCGCTGGGGGTCACTAGTCGACACTGTCTGGCCGACGGCACCCTGAGGAGGCCAACTCTGTGGGAGCTCATTGGATGATGGGAGGCTGGCGGTGGCAGTAGGTGGTCTCGCAGGTTCCCTGGGCNAGAAGTCAAGCCTTTTGACAGTAATAATCATAAGTCAACTAGTATGTAATCTGATTCCCAGTGATTATGGGATAACCCGTAGTGCAAGTGGGAAACAATTGCTTGAATCTTACCTACTGATTTAGTAGGTATCTTCTAAAGTAACTCCATATATTTTGGTTCAGAAGCCAGGCGATTGTGGGATTCTGTCCATGAACCCATAGCTAGTCTGTAAAGTAATCACTCAACTTATACAGAAGGTTGTATGCAGAGGTGGGTTCCTACTAGTTCGCACACATTCGGTAGAACCAGTTCGTCAAATCTACCGAACCGGTTAGAAGAGGTTCCACCAGTGGACCCGGAAAGCAGGCCATACCTACAGAAAAGGTTCCCAAAAAAATTGAAACCCACCACTGGTTGTATGGGATTATCTGGAATATAATGGCAATTGTTTGGTGCTATATAACCAATCCTTAGCTACTACAAGGAAGAAACTAAAGGAAAGATATAGAATAATTTTGTAAGAATTTCATGAAAAATGCTTCATCCTCCAAGTCATTTAATTAATGAAACGCACCAAGTTGTTTTATCTAATTTTTCTCTACTAAGATAAAACTAGAAATTAAGCTGGTGAAATAGCCAAAGGATATAGTCTAAATATAGAGTCAGATGTTGTAGAATAAGAGATATATAAATGTAGACAGAGAAACTGATACAGAAATAGATAGGCTTAGTTTTCGATCATGCCCTTTATAAATAACCATCTGCAGGAGTGGTTTTCAGAAAAGCTATGAGGCAGAATACTGCTACATTTTAATTTATTGAAAGTGCCTGGTTATTTGCCAGGTGCAGAAACATTTTGCAATTGAGCCCTGAACCAAATGTGCTTCTGAAAGCTCAAGCGATCAAAAGCAAGTTCCCGGGAGCAGAGATTAGTGTGGAAGTGAATTTGAAGCAAATAAATAGTGTAATTTTGGTTTTTAAAAAAGGGAAAGAGAACATATTAGATCCCTTCTTCTATGAAAGAGAAAATTGCAATGTTAAAGTAACATTATCCTATAATTTATATACGTAAACTGCTTTCTTTGAACAGGTATTATACTATTGATATCTGAAGATGGGATCCCTGGGGTTTATAGCATATATTCTACCGCTCTGCTGGGATATCTTTCAACAATTGTATTGTCATGACTAATCTCTCAAACCTCCCCCAACCCAAGTTCATGTTATGAATGATAATTGGATTAGTAAATTCAGGTGAAAATATAACCCTTATACAAGTCAGATTTGTAAGAGTTTATGGTGATGTTCCGATTACTGTTATTTTTATTGAAATAAATGTAAGGATTTGTAACGAGTCAGAACAAAGATGAAGAAGCTCAGGTTTTTATGGGGATGCTGATAGCATCAAGCAATGAGATGTTACTGGAAGCCTTCTACTTTATTGGATATGTGCATACCAATTTGTTATTTTACAGGAACTATGCATACCAATTTTTGCCAGATATTATGAGTACTATTATTTCCACTGATCCCTATAAAGGATGATAACATATACAGTATTAATTACCAAAATCAGTAGCCTCGGTTTCTAATTCATTATTCTAATTTAATCCTTATTCAAATGTGCATATTTATTATGGTTGCATGAAAACCAGAAATGTATGATCAAATGTTACACCGTATAAATGAGAGAACTGTTGCTTATCAAATAATCACTGACCTAACCTAAAAGTTAGAAGGGCATGATTAAACTGCAACGTGCTCTACATGGGGCAGCCCTTGAAGAGCATTTGGAGACTTCAGCTTGTCTAGAATGCAGCCGTGCGAGCGATTGTGGGTGCACCCCGGTTCACCCACGTAACACCTATCCTCTGCGAGCTGCATTGGCTGCCTATTGGTCTCTGGATACGCTTCAAGGCGCTAGTCGT